GCAGGCACAATACGTGAGCAATGATCCAAACTATCTGAAGTGCAACAAGCCGGAATGCAAGAAATACAACAATACTGTTTGTGAAGTGGCAACTTGTAGTGGCACTGTATCATTTCATGTCATCAACATCAGGACTGATATCGAATTCGTGTTCTTTGCTGGAGGTTTTGAGACGCCTTGCATTCTAACAAGGTCTGTCCCCATGAAGTTTTCCAATCCAAACCAGCCATTACATGGACATGTTTCAAGCACAGATTCCACAGCAACATCGGTACGTTAAAGGCTGTAATACTTGTTAATGTTGCCAAGATACTAGGCCTCAACTCAATAGTCAGAATTGCACTGATATTGTCCTCGCTCGAGGAGCCACCTGCATTACTTTCGCTGCCATGCATTAGAGTCATTCTTGCAACTTTATCATCTCAACGGTTGTTTTCAGATTGAAATGGTTCTAAGTTCAAATCTTATCATTTTTATTCACTTAAACTTGAGTTAAGATGATTCTTGGACGCTATGTACCATGAACAAATGTTTTTTACATGAATTAACGGCAAAGCTTCTTCCCTTGTGACACAGATGAGATTAACATGGGTTAGTGGGAGTGAAGAACCTCAAGAAGTACAGTATGGAGATGGAAAAACACTGACATCGACAATTACAACATTTTCACAAGATGATATGTGCAGTGAGTTCTTCATTCTTTTTTTTTTGGTATGTTTTGCTTTATAAGCGATTTATGTTATGATTTTGAATCTTCTGGGGATTGTATGAAATTTACAGCTTCGGCTCTGCCGAGTCCTGCCAAGGACTTCGGGTGGCATGACCCTGGATTCATTCATTCAGCAGTCACGACAGGACTAAGACCTTCAACCGCATACTCCTACAGATATGGAAGGGAACAAACTATTGAAAATGTCAAAAAAAAAAACACTCCCAGTAAGGAATTGACCTTTATTCTTCTCATACAGTGATTCAACTGGCTGGAGTGATAAAATCCAGTTTCGAACTCCACCTGCTGGCGGTTCTGCCGAACTAAGATTCCTTGCATTTGGTGATATGGGGAAGGCTCCTCTTGATCCTTCTGCCGAACACTACATTCAGGTAGAGAAATGGTTATTACTTCAGTAATTTAAGCTTATCAAGATGGTTATGGAAGTTGGTATTAATGTACTGACCAATATTCATAATTTATGATCATGTAGCCAGGATCTCTCTCGGTGATTAAAGCCATGACAGATGAGGTAGAATCCGGAAATGTAGACTCCATTTTCCACATTGGAGATATAAGTTATGCAACAGGATTTTTAGTTGAATGGGATTTTTTTCTTCACCTTATAAGTCCTCTGGCTTCTCAAGTGTCTTACATGACCGCAATCGGAAACCACGAGAGGTTACTCTTTCACCTGAATAATTGAACCCTCTTTTTGCAGTATCAGAATTATGTTTATAGGGATTAATCACTGCACAAATGTATTCAGAGATTACATAAATTCTGGATCTGTGTACATAACTCCGGATTCGGGCGGAGAATGTGGAGTTGCTTATGAGACCTATTTTCCAATGCCAACCTCAGCGAAGGATAAACCATGGTACTCTATAGAACAAGGACCTGTTCACTTTACAGTCATTTCAACCGAGCATGACTGGACTGAAAATTCTGAGCAGGTCAAGCCAGAACTAACCTTGCATGATCTTCAATTTTCTTTTGTATTTTTGTGACTGACATAGTGGACTCTTGCAGTATAAATGGATGGACCAGGACATGTCTTCGGTTGATCGATCGAAAACTCCTTGGCTAATTTTTGCTGGGTAAGCTGCATTTACCATCATAGATGTTACATTCCTGAAGGTTATAGAGTCATGTGTTCATTTTCTGATAGATTTGAGACAATCGATTTTGAAAGACCTTTACAAATCAAATGCAGACACAGACCAATGTATTCCTCAACTGATGGATTGTTTAGCACCGACGACAAATTTACAAAGGCTGTAGAACCATTGCTGGTGCAGTATAAGGTTAGCTTGATTCACAGGTTGAATATAAATTAGGCTTATTTCCTTGTTGCTCTCTGAATAAGTAACCCTGTTGGCATGAACTAGGTTGATATGGTTCTCTTCGGCCATGTCCACAATTACGAGAGAACATGTTCTGTATATGAAAGCAATTGCCTGGCCATGCCTTCGAAAGATCGAAATGGTATCGACACATACGACCACAGCAATTTCAGTGCCCCTATGCAAGCAGTTATTGGTATGGCTGGCTTCAGTCTGGACAATTTCTCACAAGTAAGTTGATCCATGATCATTTAATACATATCAACTTTAAATTCAATAGATGCTTACCCTGTTAACCGCATATAACCATGGTTATCGGTCTGAACCGACACAAGGCTTGGGTTAACGATGTCGTTTTGAACAAAAATTAAAAAAATCCTTGAGGTTGACCCTGCCGGGTCTCACTCGAGCTTGGCCAGAGCAACCAGATCGTCTGACTAAGTTAACCTCAAAACGGTTCAAAATAAAACTTGGCCGGATCGACGAGTTACCAGGTTCGTCGTCAGGCCAAGTTTAATAACTACGCATATAATTAGGATGTTTCTGTGGACAGCCCGGAAGCTGGAGTTTGGAAAGGATTTCTGAATTCGGGTATCTGAGAGGGCATGCAACAATGGAGGACATAAACTTAGAGGTCAGTATACACAACTTCATGAACAGAGTTAGTATCGCAGCCAATCTAAGTCATATCATTCATTGTTTTCGCAGTTCGTGAATTCAAATACTAGACAAGTTCAAGACAGCTTCCGCATCACCAAAGGACAAAAATAGATAGATGTAAATCTTTATATCCACACTCATGTTTGTATACTTAAATCTCTTCATTATAATAAAAGCTTTTCTTCTCCAACTAACTGCTGTTATATGTTTATAAAATATTTGCAGTAGCTGTGAACTTCTATTTCTTATGAAGGGGATTTGTAAATGTTCTTGACGGAATTATTGACTTAAGAACTTATCACTTATCATCCATGTAATTGATTCAATATCCAGAAAAAAAAAAGTTTCCAATATTATATTCTTTTTCTCTCGTTCTTGAAGAACAACAAATTAAAATCCAAGTCATAACTTCTTTGACTATAAAACAAATTCTTTATATTTTAAAAGATGGATGATCGTAGCTATCTATATTTATATCCTTGTGTTTATAGGTTTTTTTTTTTTATCTTTAATTACCGCTAACATTTCAATTATATTTTAAATATCGATCATTAAAACAGAATTGAAGCAAAGCTTTTGTATTAAGACAGAACTCTTCTCTTTTACTGTTACAGTACATAAAACAAATACTACGGCTCTTTATATTGTTGTCATTGCATCAGAATCCTAATCTACTTTCTATGATTAATCTTGAATTGTTCACGGGCAAGGAAACACATATCAAACAAATCAATCTAAATTAACTGACAGTGGCAGCAACTTTATTCTGCAAATTCCTCTCCTTGATTTTCTTGGTTTCCTGAACTGGTTTGATTTTCTTAATAAACTGTTTTTATTTTCATTAAATGATAAAAATAAATATAATAATATTAAGGAAGACAAATTTTAAAAAGAAAAAGATCATAATACCTTGAAAAAATAATGATGAGAAATTGGATAAAAAAAAGATAAAAAAATTGTGCCGAGTCAACAAAAGCTAAGACATAACAGAAAAAAAAAAACTAAATAAAGGGATCTAAAATAAAAAAAAAAATAATAAAAATAATAAGAGGAAAAATCAAAATTAAAAAACAACTAAATTTTTTTTATTAAAGATTTAAATTAAAAAGAAAAACAAGTAACAAAAAAGGAAAAAGAATAAAAGAATGGGGAAAATTAAATTGAAAAAAAAAACACAACATAACCTTGATTTGAAAGGTAATTAAAAACCAATAAACTCTTATAAAAGAGTTCAGAAAAAAAAAAGATATAAGTATCCCATGATAAAACAACATAAACTTGGTTCAAAATCTAATATTATTTTATTCATAAAATAGAATAATTTCCTTGATAAAACAAAATAAATAGCAAAATAATCAATGCGAAAAGATATAAGTATTCATTGACCAAAAGTTTTGATTGTTTTGACTTAAAGGGTATTTTAATAATTTAACTGTAGCCTAAAATAGAAACAATCCATAAAACCCCTAGATTAAAAACATGTATTTTTTTTATTTTCAAAGATAATTTAATATTTTCACTATTCATATAAAACGAAAGAATTATAATATCCTTATAAACAGGACTATTTGTAATTTGAATAAAAAACAAATTAGTAACTTTATTGTTATAATCAATGATAAATGTATCTAAGCTATATTTGGTTATTTGAAATTGGTGTTTGTATGGACCGCTTCTCAGCTGAATTAATATTGAAATCGGGTCATTTATGAGCTTTTTAAATTTTTGTGGTTAAGAAAATCATAATTAAATTTATAGTTGTGAAAGTGACTTTGAAATTTATCTAGAAATTAAAAAAAAAAACTTAAATCACGTCAATCCATGTACAATCCAGTTAACTTTAATTAATTATTTTTATTAAAACAACAAGGATACGTTCTCTTTTCACTTGTCTGTTGACTCATTTATATTTGCCCCCGAGGAACCAAAAACTTGATTGGGTTGAACCAAAAAGAAAGAAGAAAAAATAATTTTATTATATGAAAACTGATATGAGAATACTCTTTATCTTTAATATTAAAAAATAAATAAATAATAATAAAGACTAGACTCACACCATATCGTCCACCTCAACAAGAAGCTAAAACAAAGCAAGCAAAATCCTCACTTGTCCCTTGAATCCCTCGAATACTTGAATCTTGAAGTGTTTCACATGTTAGGCATTTCAACAGCAAAAGCGTTATCTGCCAAATTATGAACCAACCTCGCGAGCGTGCATAAAACACACCCACCCTCAAAACCCTATATAAACAAGCCATGCTCACCATCTTGCTCACACTCAAACAACAACCAAGACCGGAGAGGGAGAAGAGATGGCTATCTTGAATGTCCAGTACTTTATGATCCTAGCCATTCTCGCAGTGATCGGAATTCTGATTCCGAGCAACAATGTAGCCCTTGGCCAAGAATGCCATGGTGACTTCCAAGGTTTAATAGCACAATGTTCCAAGTATGTTCAGGTACAAGGGCCACAGACAGACCCATCTCCCGACTGTTGCAATGCAATCAAGACTCTCGATGTGCCTTGTGTGTGTAAGCAAGTCACTAATGGCATTGAAGCTCTCATTGATATGGCAAAAGTGGCCTATGTTGCTCAATATTGTGGCATACCACTCGCACATGGCACCAAATGTGGAAGTAAGTTGCTTTTGTTTTTGTTAAATTTTATGGAAAAACTAACTCGAATAAATTTCATTGTTGTTAAATTCTATTTATATTGATAATTCAAACTAGTGGCTCGTTGTTTAGATTTTAACCTATATCAAGTTTTAAAAAATGTTAGTGTAGAATTGAGTTTGACTTTGGTTGACCAACAATTTAGTTTTAAAATCTTGTTTGATTTTTCAAAAAAAATTATTTAAAATAATATTGTTTAAAAAATATTGAAATAACAATATTTTGTATTGATTTATATCAATTCAGGTTAGTTTGTTCATCTTGCAATTTGAATTTTAAATCATATTTTAATCATGTTTAATAACTTTATTCCATAGGAAAATTTTACTTGATTAATAGTAATATTTATTTATCTTAGTTGGGATCTTCATTATGAATGCACTGCAATTGCTAACTATTTTCCATGATTTATTGCAGGCTTCACCATTCCATGAAAATGGTCACATCAACACTCCCAAGTTATAGCTATGAGCTACTAATTACTGGACTAGAATAAACATTCAAGTTGATGTATTGAATAATTAGCGAGGATTTTAAAATATTCAAGTTGATGTATTGAGCTACTGTTTTTCAAATGGCTTTTGTTATTAAAGATGCCTTGATATCTATGGATTGTGCTTGATTTGGATATAAAGACTTGTTAATTGAGTGATTCGAGTGTTTGGGTCTTTTTAAACGTTAAATATTTTTTTGTTGCGCATATTGGATAAAAAACAAACATAAATAAAATACAAACAAGCAGATTTATATGGTTTTCCAAAATCGGGTACATCCACGAAGGTAGTAGATTGTATATTATTGGAGGAATGATATAAACACTCAACTCAACTTAGTACAATCCCACAAAACCCGGTGTTTCACTCTTACACTCGGTGTTTCTCTCAAATCTGCACTTTTTCACTCTCACAGTTGTACTCACCACACTTTCACCTCTTTTGCTCTTACCACACTTACACTACACTTTTCTTACACTGCTCTCTCTTTATCTCTATTTATAGGAGAGCCTTGGCAGCTTGGTTGAGAAGTAATGATGGTTAATGGTGGTTGGATGGCAGTTAGAAGTGGTTGATGGTGATTGTTAAAAGAGAGGGTGGTTGATGGTAAATGAGAAAAATATTGATAATTTGCTATATTTTTTTGGCTTTGCCTGGTCATCGCTTATTAAACTTGAAAATATTCACACAATCTTAAGTTCTAATTTATTTTAAAATAGTTGATTTTTTAAAAATTAGTTCAATTTGTTAATCAAAACAGTTGATTTTTTTAAAAAATAGTTCAATGTATAAATCAATTTACTTTCCATATAATTAGAATAAATTCTAATATAAAGAAAAATATAAGAATTGTTTTTCAATGTGTTGGGATATTGCTACTTATATGGCAACATATGTAGCCCTACTCTAGAAAAGGGTTGCCATTATCAAAAGTCTATAATAATAATTATGTATTATCAAATAATTTATACTAATTATTGACAAAATGATGTAATTCATGTGTTGCTATCATTAGTGCTATAATTTATGATCAAGTTGTTTTACCATTGATACCTATAAGTAGAGGTATAATTTGAAGAGTAAAGTAAAGGAGTGTGTAAAGCCAAATATGTGAGAAATATAAAAAAAAATTGGCTGTTAAGAGCAGCAAGCAGTGATTGTCATTATAGCATTATAATAAAAAAAAAGTAAGGTTGAGAGTTGTAAAGAGTAGATAATTACTTCTTCTCTATTATTATAAATCTTGTTTATATATATATATATAATTAAATAACTTCTCCTATAAATATAAATAATTTATTAAATTACATTAAAAATGTCACTATATTTAACCTCTAATTAAAAACTATCATAATATAATCAAAATCTCCAACATCATGCACCAATCAAGTATCATACACTTGATTAAAAAATCTAGTTTCAAGAGACAAAAATCACAATTACAAGACATGGTCTACGAATCAACTTGAAAAAGCATTTGAGTTGCCATATCATAGTGAATTCACATGTTAATCAATCAACATCAATCAATCAATTTTATTAAAATTATGTTATTTTATTTTTTTTATTTTTTTTATTTTTTTTATTGATGTTGATCCAGCTTGGTTTGAACTGGAGAGGGCTTATCTAACTTAACCGGGTCGCTGAAAATCTAGTGGTGTGATTAAGTTAATTTTTTTTATTTAATTTAAAACCCAACCAGTGTCCAGTTATAAGTTATGAATGGATCAACCTTTTTCCATTTAATTCGTTGACCGAGCTCGAACATAGCACAGGAAAAATAATTCAGGGCATCCTTTTCTTCCAAAGCTATGAATGTCAAGGTGGGAAGAATACATCAGTGTCGAAAAGGATTGTTGAGAAATGACTGCTCGTGTATCTTGATATCGTTTGGTAATCATCAGAAATGTTAGAAAGTCGGTAGTGTACAACATGGAATTTGAAGTCTTGTTTATAGTTGTCAGGTTATCCAGATTTTAACGAGTTAATTATTCAAAAATATTTGATAAGAAATCTGACTCGAATCTGAATATATATTTGATAAGAAATCTGACTCGAATCATCTGATTTACTAGATTACCGAGTCGATACACTCGACCAGGATATCGAATTTAATTACTATATACAGCATAATTATGTGTAAAGGAGAGAATTACTCCCTATATATAGTTTGAGGCTCTTTATACCTTTCGTTAAACCTTAAAAAAAACCAAAAAAAGCTATGGAAGAAACAAAAGAAAAGAGCTCACGAAGCAAAAATTATACAAAAGTAAAATTGATTGCTCGGAGTGTCCAGATCATTCAATGCAAATTGCAGAAAACTTGTAAAGATTGGATGGCTTCTTTGCTCGATGAACGTTTTCATTCACAAGAAAAATGAAATCTGTTACGAGTTTCAAAAATAACGCATGGGCTCACACCACAAGCAGCACCCAAAACAAACGAGCAAAGTCCTCAATTTTCCTTTACTCCAGTAAAAAAATTCAAAGTGTTTCACATGCAACTCGTTTCAAGATTACCAAACAAAGAGAGTAACGTATAATATATGCTCAAATTGGACCAACTTGAGTCACAAAATCCATGCAAATCAAGAAACTGACACTAACCCCCTTCCTCAAAACCTCTATATAAACCAGCCATGCCAATCCCACCATGTCCATGCTCAGAAAATCACCACAGCCAGAGAGGTAGCTAGAGAGAGGAAATTAAATTAAGCGATGGCAATCTTGAACATCAACTTCATGATGGTCTTGGCTGTTTTTGCCATGACTGGAATACTCATTTCCAGTGACCATGTAGCCCGTGGCCAAGGATGCCAAGGTGACTTACAGGGGCTAATAACTCAATGTGCAAGGTATGTTCAAAGGGCTGCACCACAAAAGGACCCATCTCAAGAATGTTGCAGCGTGATCAAGTCTGTTGATATCCCATGTGTGTGTAAATACATCACTAGGGAGATTGAAGCTATCATTGACATGGGAAAAGTTGTTCATGTTGCTGCCTTCTGCGGCAAACCACTTGACCATGGCATGAAATGTGGAAGTAAGTAGTAGTTTTACTCAGTGTTATATATAGGACTCGATACAGTTTGTATCAACCCGGTGACCCATCAACTCAAGGCACATCCCAAGTCAAATCAATGAAAAAACCTGATTTTTTAAAATTAAAATGATATAATTAGTTGATTCCAGTCAATTCATTCATTTTTAATCTTGATCTTGAGTCTTTTAATCTTGATCTTGAGCCGGGTCGATCGCTGTATCTGATGTTATTATAATAGTACTACTTTCTTTCTCTCTCTCTTCCATGTTAGTCATTGCTACTGCTAACTTCTGTATTTCTTATTTATATTTATTTTTTGATTCATTGCAGGCTACACAGTTCCATGAGGAGAGAATATCGGGCACATGTATGCAAAGCTATGGCTTCAAGAGTGGCTCATAAAATTAAAATGCATATTAGTAGCTCAAGTTGAATCTGGATAAAAACTCTTGTTATAATATGATGAAGCAATGAAATATATAAATATTTCTATTTTACTTGTCTGGTTTCATCTTTCCATCCCGACGACAATTGACGGTAAATTAGCTATTTTAATTATTTTAGAATAAAATAATTAATATTAATTGTTTAAATTGCTATTTAATGTGTTTGTTGATGGAAATTAATATTAATCACTCCTGTACCTTACATAAACAGAAGAGTGAAAAAATTATAATTAAGCCCTTTCTCTCCAATCCTAAATATTGAATTTATTTTTATTCTCAAAGGAAATATATATATATATATATATGTTGTCTGAGATTTTCTTTCTTTCTTTTTATCTTTGTCAGAATTACCAATATTAGGTTAAAGTCTGCACAAGTCCTATATATCAATAGATTCAATACGACCATTACAAGGATTAATAAAACATATGAATAAAATACTATATTTTTGTAAAATTTCCTCCCGAGTTATAGTATTTTAATAGAAACTACTTCGCAGTTCATGATCATAAATAATATATTTGATGTTGGTACTTCCATTTCGTAGTAGTGAATTAAATATTAAATTTCCAATATTTTTTGAAGTTTTTGAAGTATCCAAAATGGTGAAATTTAGCATAGATTCACCAATAAAAATGATTAAAATGGACAATTTTATCTTTGAAAAATAGTTTTCAAAGGTTTAACCCAGAATAAACTAAGCTAAGTTTTTAATGGATATTTGAAAAGTCTAAAACCCCATGCATTTAGTGATTTATGACTGTTTATATAATGCTGCTCTGTCTCAGTCTTCAGAATTATCTTTAATTATTATTATTATATATGTTTTGTTTGATAATACGATATATATATTATATTTTTTAAATAAAAAATATTTTTAAATTGTTGTAGTATATCAATGTTAAAAATAATTTTTAAAAATTAAAAAAATTATTTTAATATATTACCAAATAAAAAATATTTTAAACTATTATCCTAACTCCAAGCAGTCACTACTCGAACAACTAAACTTATTACATTCGGCTCGGCCTGTGGTACGATGTAAGGTCCAGGCCTCGTGCTTGGCACCAAGTTACCTGTCCAGCGTGAAGCCAGGCATGATATCTGAGTCAAACTAACAGGTCTGGTGCTTGCCTAGGCTACGAGCCAAGGTACAGGCTTGTTTTTGGATCCTCTTTGAGGTCCAGACTGTGGTAAAAAATAGGCTTGGATAAAAAACAATTATTATAAAAAATATGTGAAATTCTAGTCCATCACGTTGACTTGATGATTTTCACTCGTAAATTCTATAAATCAAATAGTTGAAATCTTTTCGTAAGTAAATTCAGTAAAATCAACTTTAAGAGTTTGGCCTAATGACTTCTCCTCCCAAAAGTTTGAAACTCTTGAAAGTAAATAATTAAATGCAACAATTGTTAGATTGTATGTATATATCCACACTAATAATTATAATTGTTAAACTTAATCATTAATTTAGAAAATTTAGGATTCAGAATTTAATCTATATTAAATTTTAGTTGAACCAAACAACATATTTATTTAATAAAATTTAGTTAACTCAACCAAGTTTTTAGTAATATAAATAATCTAGATAAACTTATGTAAAATATATAAAAAGTATCTTATTATTGTTTTAATAAAGAAATAATTTGAATTAATTCAAATAATATAAAAATTAACCCAATAATTTAAATTATTTTTGAAATTTAACAATTATTCCTAAGATAATTATTAAAAAATTGTATAATTGTAACTACTCCATAAAGATAAACATAGAAAAGAAAAAAAAATTACATTTAGCCTTTTTAAAAAGTAATTTTCTCGGATATTAAAAAATATTTTTTTATTATATTTTTTATATTTATCTATTTTTTATATTATAAATATTTATAGGATAGAAATAAACACAGAATAAGAGAACATTTATGAGTGCTTTTAAAAAGTATTTTTAGAAAATTTTTAAAATATAAAAAATATTATTAATATATTTTTTTAATAAAAAATATTTTAAAAATAACCGCAACCTTATACTTCTAAGTACGCTCTAAAAAAAATGACATTCAACCCCTTTAAAAATAGTTCTTTCACCTATTGTTTTTTTAATTTTATTTGTTATATATATTTATTCTATACTATAAATATTTAATAATTATGGCGTGAATATTATAAAATTTCTTATTTCTCTTACTATCATTATCTCATCCCGCCGACCTTCACATGATGAACTTCAAATTTAAAAACATTTTTTTATTTCTTAAATCTTCCCCAGTAACCTCAAATCAACCGTCCGATGCCCGCCAAACCCTCTCCACCGTCGTTCTTGTTTCTCAAACGAAAGATCTAGTCATCATCCTTTATCCACAGCCCAAATTCCTAATCACCCACCACGTGTCCGTTTAATCACCGATTTACCGGTGTCTTCGCTTTAAAAACACAAACCTCAGGTTCTTACACCAAACCGACCAGGCTCGGCAATATATCATTCTTATTGTCAAGATTCCCTCTTTGTATCCGTTAGCAGCAATAATTTCTACTAGATTCTCTGTCAGGAAACCGTTCTCTTTGCCACAGGACACATTCAAGTTCCTTTTGGATCGAAAGGTAAGGCAATGATCATGATCTGTTTGCTTTGCTTATGCAGATATTGAGTTTTGTTTTGTTTTGTTTTTTTGGTTGAACTGTTGATGAGAGCTTTAAAGTTCATTGCTTTATCGTTTTAGTGATGATATAGATGGATTGTTTGTTCTGGGGTTTGGTTTTTTCTTGATCTTTTTGTGTCTTGATGTTTTTGTTTTTGGGTTTCTTTTGTTTTGTGATCTGTGAGGTGTTCTTGTAGTTCCATTGAGTCTTGGATTCATGATCTTTGTTAAGAAGGTGCTTAGATTTGACTGAGTATTGGTTTCTAAGTTATTATTGGTTACGTTTGTTAATAAAGATTGATTCTTGGTTGTTGTTTTAGGAAAATTAACTTAGTGTTGTGACTGGATTGATTCGCGAAAAAGTGGTGAAATGGCAACTTTGGTTTCTGGAAGATCGACGTTGAATCCCAATGCACCTCTCTTTATTCCTAATGTATATCGACAAGTGGAGGATTTCTCACCGGAATGGTGGGAGCTCGTGAAAACTTCGACTTGGTTCAGGGACTTCTGGTTGAGTCAGCATCCGGAGGGGAGTTTTGATGGAAGTGCTGGTGCTGATGATGATCTTACGGATTTGCTGCCGGAGGATTTGGATGTTGGTGTTGAGGAGTTTCCTAACTTGGAAGCTCAATTTGAGGAGATGGTCATGTTGGCTGAAGCTGAAGATAAAACTGACTTCATTGCTACCGATCCCAAAGTTGAAATGAAGCCTCTAAATGGTAATATATCTTACTACGACCCTTTTCTTATCAAAATTGGACTGGATTTAGGTTGAATGATTTCAGATTGTATTGGTTTTGTGTTTGTTGTCTTCAATTTCGAAAATGGAGGGTTTGATGCATAGCAATAGCATTTGTGCTCCCAATGCACGATTCGAGTACTAGGTACATCATGTATAACATGATGAATCGGGAGATTGAACTTCAATCACTTCAAAATTAATCACTGCTCTTTTCGGTAGTTAAACTTGATCTTCGTATCAATAGCGATGGAACAAACCACCTTTTCATTTTATTAAGCTGTATATCATCATCCTCCAAGCATTATTATGGCATTCAGGAAGAGTAAGAGTAATTTTGTTGTGAAACACAGGTCTCCTAGTGGATGTGAAAGCTTTGCTGAATGACCTGAACGTGCCAAAATCTCACAAGGACAGAAATCCCAGATCTCCAAGAACCCCTACGAAGTACCAAACGAAGCCATTGCACTGCGTTTCTGGCAAGCGCACTGCACAAAACATCCACCAGCCTCGCTGAAGGAAATACTCGATCGTTCCAGAGTTGCATTTGGAGCAACATCACTAACATTGAGCAGTCAGAAGACGTTCTTCTAGTTTCCTCTGTAAATGCAAGGCTGTACCGTTTTCGTGTCTTTCCTCTCATGCAATTTCATTTTAGCTTTCCATGTAAAAATCTGAACAAATCTTGTAATAACAAATGAACATGAGTGCTGTCTTTGTGAGTATTGTTAAGGTTCTTTCTTGCCACCGTCCATAACCATGTGGTTGGTATTGTGTTTGGAACTGGAGTAGTATAATTTTTTCAAAATGATTTTTGTTTGGAAGTATATAAAAATAATATTTTTTTATTTTTTAAAATTATTTTTATATTATTATATTAAAATAATATAAAAATATACTCTAAATTTGATTTTGATTAAGGCTAATTCAGGCTGGGCCAAATTTGATAAATATACTCTAAATTAATTAATTTGTTGTTAAAAGCATTTTCTGTAAGATGTTGTTTTAAAATTAAAAACACAAATTTTTCTAAATTAATTAATTTGTTGTTAAAAGCATTTTCTGCAAGATGTTGTTTTAAAATTAAAAACACAAATTTTATTCTCAAATCTTTATTCTCGGTGGTGTTCATTTATTCTAAACAATTTCATATATCAATTTTATCCTAAACAATATAGATTTATCAATTTTTTTATGTTAGTTTCCAATAAAATTCTATCTGAATTTTATTTTTTCTCAGTATTTTTATAAATTACATTTTTGTTAATGGGATAAAAATAAAATAAAATAATACAATGACTAAAGTGCCCTCTTATAGCAAGAAAACCAATCACCTCGCACACTCATTCTCTTCCTCCCGTTCACTCGTGACTCGCTCTCGTGTTTCTCAACTAAAACGAAGAACTGAAAAATAAATCAACAGATCATCTGCTTTCTCCGATTTCCATATTTCCTGTGTTCTTATGTCGTGTAGATTCCCTCTCTTTTGCCTGGAACTCAATAACGCAGGTAACAATTATTTTTCGATCGAGACTTTGAATATTGGTTTTAGGCTGTTCAATCGATAAAATTGAGGGTTTCCAGGAAACGTTCTTACCACGATGTAACCTAGTTAGGTATGTTTAGTCGAGAATTTATCAAAACCCCCAATATTGTAATGTATATATAGATAGTTATTGGTTTCTGCTGCTGTTTCATTGATAATTATCTTATTCAGCCTCTCCGGAATGCCATATAGTGTAATGTATATGTAGATAGTTAAGTTTGGTGTATTGTATGCTAAAGTTTGATACTTTTGTAGGGTTTTAGGCTAATACTGAGTTTTTCACAATTTTGAGTTTTGAGAGGTCTTTTTTGCACATTTAAGAAAAACGCACTTAAGTAGTTTTAGAAATTCATATTTTTTTTGTTCTAAAAGAGGATAATGCACAGTTAAGAAAAACCCACTTAAGTAGAAATTCATGTTTTTTTAGTTCTAAAAGATGATAATGTTTTTCGGGGTGATTGGACTTTTCTGTTAATATGATGGATTGTTGTACTTTGGTTGTGTATGTTGAGTTGTTGTGTGCTTATCTGTAGCAGATTGAAAGCCAAAACCTTTAAATTTGGTGCGTTTATGTAAAGATTATCAATGTCAGAATCGAAGTCAAATCCTCAGAGTAGTTTGCGATGCCATCATTGTGCTGGCCCTCTGACCAAAGAGATGGTATCCTCTTCCACAGCTCAATATTGTATAATGCATAATTTTGAATCTATCTTTCATTTCATAATTCATTGATACCTTGAAATATAAAATATTAATCTACTCTTGTCTGCTTTTTTTTTCAAATTTTTTTCCCTGATTGCAGGAAACTAGTCAATGGACTGTTCGACCTCTAATCAGAGATAGCTTTTCCATGGTAAATACTTTTGACAATTTATCCTGTTTTCAGATTTTAGGTAATTGTGGGCACTGTAAAAGAGAGCATGTAATCAGATGATCCTTCTATCTGTAGTGCCTACTCTGCACTCAAATATTATTGGACTTGTGGGTGGCTTGTCTAGGATTAAAATGTGGGAGTATAATTTGGAAGTGCATATAGTTGCACTTTAGGTTTATTTGTGTAAACGAGGTTGCTTTATGTCACATATTGACTGTTCCCTTTTTTTGTTTTGAAAGTTTGATTGATTTTTCTGAGGTAATGGAATTGGGTTATGGGATCAGTAACCAATCACTACTTTCATGTTTTTGATGGGATTGCTTGTAGTGGCACACTAACTGTTATTGAGTTTATGCTACGGGAGTTTCTTCTAAACGATAGAGGGTGGGGCTTATATTTTCTTTTTGCTGTTTTGGTTTAGATTGGCTCTGCTGTTGGTGGTACAGCAAGTGCATTTTATGGATTCAACCATGGTATGGGTTTCTGTTTCTTGCACTCTTTGCTATCTGTTGTTGATTTGGTTAAGTTGATAATTGATATAATCTGACCATCTTTCTGCTCTTATTATTAAATTCTTATTGTGTATGATGTTCAGCTATTATATGGCTTATTGTCTTTTATTTAGTCTTTGGCACACATTTTTCCTTATATTTTTTTTCTTTGTTCAGGACCAAGTTGTCCATTAATGTTTATAAGGAGTAACAGAAAAAGAAGAGGGAGAGAAATAAAAACTACAAAGAAAACAAAACCACGGCATTGATGATGGCAATCCATCAACTTATAACAGCACTAACCTTCAGCGAATATCCAAAAACATTTATTTCACTATTAGTGGAGTGCCATTATAAAGTGGTAGAGTGGGATCTTCATAAACCATAAAACCATTGTCAAACTAAAGCAATGGAGTATCATCTTGCTGAACTCATCAAGTCTGTGTTTTCCATCTAGAACAACAATGCAAATGAAAGATACAAGTGTGATTCTGGAAGTGGCCCATACACCTGAAAGGCAATGCTTGGCTATGAATACTGGAAAAAAAGGACCTGCTAGTTGCAATTTAGCATCTGCCTTGCTTGTTGCCAATCTGCATTCATTATATACTTTGCATGAATACTGTGTTTTATATCTTGAATCATCATGCGGGTAGAAAGGCCAGCTCTGAGGAAGAAAGAGAGCTCCAAATTGCTTCAGTCGACAAGCGTTTTTATTGTTTGCACTCCAGTTCATAGATTGTAATTTCATTGCAAATTGCTTTTCTTTATACCATTTCAGATTATAAATGTTTGACAATTCTTTTTTCCATATGGTTTTCTGACCAAATAAAAAATGTGATTGGTGCACACATCCTGCACAAATATGTGTGTAACTTACAAAGATATTTGTTATATCTTTCTTCACTTCTTACCTGCATTGCTTTTAATTATGTATCACAGGTACTTTATGGTATCTATTTTCTAACTTCATGGCTTGGACCACAAGGAACCTTTTATTGTTAATAAAATTATGCAACAACTGGTAGTTGTTCTCTTTTCCTTCCTTTTTGATGAATATATCTGTTGATGCAGTGATGCCAGTAGTCCGGAGATGGGTAAAAGGACCAATGTGGCTCCATTTCTTTATTGGTGTAAGTTTCTCAAATGCCTTAATGTTTTCACCTCTTTAACCGATTTTGAATTTTTTTAGTAAATATAATATATATTAGTGACAACAATGAAAATATGAAAATTATGGTGTGTGTGTGTGTGTGTATATGTATGAGGCATAATTATGCCTATATAATATAAGAACTAGTTAAAGGAAATATAATATTTAGATAGCAGAAATAAAATTTAGTAACGTAACTAAAGTCTCAATGCCAAGAAACGAAAAGAAAACATTGGATGGAATTTTTTGTCAACTTGATAAAGTTGTACCTGCTATTCTTTTCATATATACTCTCCCAATTAATGAAGAATGTTTTAATGTATTCAATTTTCATTTCATTCCATGAAGCTAAAGCCCAGTTGTTGTAAGCAAAAAAACCTTGAGATAAGTATATGCTTTGTCTCAAGAATGCAAAGAAATTATTCACTATACTCAAGGCAGTGCTCCCTCCTTTCTTCTTCATTTTGGATCCCCTTGTACTGGCTATAATTGCATTTGCATGAATGTGAGAGGGAGCACTCGGCCTGGTATAGTGAATAATCATTCCAGGATGGCGACAAACAGCAGGCCTCTCAAGCAATCATGTCTTGCTGCTATTTGATTATGCTTTGACTCTTAAACCTTGAAAACACTTCCAGTGCATTTGCATGAATGTGAGAGGGAGCACTTGGCCTGGTATAGTGAATAATCATTCTAGGATGGCGACAAACAGCGGGCCTCTCAAGCAATCATGTCTTGATGCTATTTGATTATGCTTTTGACTCTTAAACCTTCAAAACACTTCCAAAAAAATTAAAGGGTTTCTCTTGGTCTCTCTATATGTATATTCAGCAGGGAATTCATTTCTAACTTCTTGGCTCCTAGAGTGCTCAATCACCTTAATATGTTTTCCATGTATGCAGAAACTTCTGTAAAATCATGTTCTTTGTCTAATATAGTTTCTTGTTGAACAGTTTTTAGTTTACTAATCAAAGTCTTTGTGTGCATGCAGGCACCTCCTGTAATAGTATTCTCTTCAGCTTGTGCGGGATTGGCAGGTCAGCAATACTATCTTTAAATTTTCTTGTGGGATGATTCATTATTTTACTGGCATTCAATTAAATGAATGTCATAATGAGCATGGTGTTTTATATCCATGGGACATGTTCTGTAAATGGCCATGACTATAAGAAATATCCTTTGACTGTTATGGGATGTGTGATGATTTCTGTAGGGGTGAAAGAGGAATTATCCTTCTGGGATTCTGTTCCTTAGAATTTCCTTGCACAGCTACTAATTTAATCACTAAAGATCTATAGCGAGTAGAGGCTGAGGCTGTCTGTCTTTTGAGGTGGCAATCCACCTGCAAGAGAACAAAACATGGTTGGCTGGTGACCTGCATGTGAATTGCAGGCTAATGCATTTTTCAAATTTCAACTTATTCTCTGGTTCCCTTCAGTAAGAAGCCAAAAAAATAAAATTTTGAAACTGTGGTTCCCAATATCCTGTACTTGATAGCATTTGAACTCATTCTCATGGGCATTGGACGCTTTACCCATTTTCTTGGGATCCAGTTGCGATAGCTAGATAGCTAGTCTTATGCTGTTCTATTGGATTGGTAAAAGTGAAATTTTTCTTATTGCTTTGCAATGGTGTGTCGATAGCTGCTCAAGCACATGTACTTTTATCATGTCTCAATGTTCTGAGCAGGCATTAATTTTGTGAGTGGATTGAATGGTAGTCTGGTGTTTATTTTGGCATTTTGCTCAGTCTATCAATACTATACGATTAAACTGTACGGACCTGGCCCAAAGGGGAAAATCAGTTGCTATTGATTCTGTTAGTTTTTGGGTAACAGTGCCTTTTGACATTCTTAACATTGGAAATGCTACAGGTGGTGCTGTTCCGGCGCTGGCACAGCTTGCTTCCTCTTCTTACCATGCAGCATTCTCATCTCCTTCGTCACCTCCTTCCTCTCAGGATGATAAAAGGCAGAAGTCCAGAAATTCCTCCACTCTGTAAGATATATTTTCTTGGTCAGTGTATCTGTGCATCAGTACACATGGGGGGGAGAGAATGCCTTTGTATATTGTCACTGCAAGCATGTGCTTCTTAGGGCCTTGCAATCATATGCTTCTGTAGTTTTGCAAAGTAACATCGACTTAGCTTTTTAAGAAGTTACCATCATTTTTGTTGATATTTATTGTCTGTAAGTTTTATATCTGCAATTTTGGAGGATGGTAATGACTTGCATCCTTGTTATGATATCAATGAACACTCATTTTCCAGCATTGCCAATTTGTTGAAAATGTTTCAACTTTCAAGAAGTACCCATGCCTCTACTTTCAGAAGGTTTCAGGTTAGAGTTTTTCTTTGTAACACAAGGTAAAACTTCATGAATGCTCAATAAACATGAGAATCTATGTGGAAGAATGTCTTTGGGTTTGGTATTTTCGGTTAGGGCTACCAGAGGCCCTGTCTCTATTTCCTCCTCTTCTCTTTTCCAAATTGGAGGATTAAATGTGGTTTTGGTTTAGTAAATGCATTTGTTCTAAAGGAGAAAATCATGAAAACTCCATGTCATGGCAAACTTGAAACCAATCTTTTACTTGAAGTCAGGTGGGGTTTGACTATTTAAATGGAGTAAATGTTGGTAAATGAAATCCAGTTTGCCAACTACTGGCTGGTGAATGCTAATGTGTTATGAAGCTTCCTTCAAGTAATAACAGTAAAACAATCGAGATTAAATGCGAATTTTTCTTTCATTCTAGGGATTAAATCAAATTAGCCCCAATCTATAGCCCTTTTTCTCATGTAGGTTCCCCAATTTGTCTAGGAATCCCCAGTTTGATCCTTCCATCTAAAACACTCCCACCTTCATCTATAGGCTGGGAACCCAGTTGAGGGAAGGCTTTGGCACATTTTTCAACAGAAGGATCCAATTGAGAATTCATGGATATTATTTACTCTCAGGCAACGTACTTGTATATTTGCTTTCTTTCAGGCAATGTTCTTGTAACATGCGGATCAGAAAGCTTGTTTAATTAAGGCTTACAATAAGGTTCCTCCAAATTAATGCAGCAGAAAATCATACTCTCTATAGCTGAAACATCTCACTCCGTAACCATGTCTAATGACCACACCTGTTGCAATTGAGTGAACAATTGTTATCATTGGACGGCTTCTGCTAATGCATTGCAGCTTCACATACATGCCTTCCAAGCAATTCCTCTTTTTTTTTTTTCTCTTTTATTAAAATCAAGGACAAACTTCAAAAACACCCCCTCCATTTATTGGGATTATATCATTTTTTTCCCAAACAATTTTTTGTATCAATTTTATCCCTAAACAATTCAGGTCCTTCTATTAGTAATCTTTAAGTTGAGTTCCCTATAAAACAATGTCGATTCTTAGAACCAAAAAAAGGGGGAGGGAGTAAAATTCAAGGAAATCCACGACCAAATACCGATCAAAAGATCTAATTGAAAATTTCTGAAAATCAAGGGGGGAAATTGACACAAGAATTTGTTTGACAACGAAATTGAGAATACCTACACAGTTTGGGGTTGTTTGAGACAACTTGTCCTAAAACCAATCTATGCCTGCTACCAAAGGGGTGCCTCGAGCCTTGACACCATTAAAAATAAAAGCACAGCATATTGGAAATCAAAAAACGTGCTACCAAAGTCTTCAGAAATTGTTCAAAGGTATGTTCAAAATCTACCAACCTTTCTTTTTTGAAGGATTAATATATGTTTGAACACAGAACTAGCATTGTAAATTCAGTCCACTTTTTTGAACCTAACTTGTTTGTAGAATAATTCCATGCTTTTCCCCGCAACTTCTCTTAATAATTCGATGGGAAACACAAGCACATTCATTCATTATAAGTTTAGGGGTATAACAATCATAGTTATTCGGAAGGACTAGGTTGGTCATTAATAATTAAAGAAAGTTTAAAGTCACGTGATGTTGAATAAAAATAAAAATCAATTTGAATTTTAACCAGATCATAAGTTAATTTGATGAATTAATAGGGTCAAATTTAATAAAAAAAATTTGACACTCAACCTGGCTAAAGAATAAGTCATCTAGATCTCGAGTTAACTAGGTTTAACTACACCAACAATAAAGTTTTGAGTTGATTGAGTTAAATTAATTAATTTTTTTTTTTACACTCAATACTAGTTGAACAGGTTTTAAGTTAATCAGAACTCAACCTGGCTAAAGAATAAGTCATCTATATCTCGAATTAACTAGATTTAACTACATCAACAATAAAGTTTTGAGTTGATTGAGTTCAATTGATTAAGTTTTTTTTTTTTCGACACTCAATACTACTTGAACAGGTTTCAAGTTAACCAGGTATAATTGGATAAGTTTTTTTTGACATCCAGACTCAGAAATAGATGAATAACTCAGTTTTAAGTGTGATTTGCCGGGTCAATTAAGTTTAATACGTGTAATAATAACATTGAAAGATAAGGAAAGGGAGGACATGCATGTGGTTTTCTCATTGCATATAATGACTGGCCACTTTTAGCTTTGGAAGTAATTTAAAATTTGGATGCAATAAACAAGGGTAGTAATATATTAATAAAAAGCAGTTATAGTGGTGTCAATAATCGAAGCTAGTTGTTCCTCTTGTGATTAATTGAACTTGAAGCTTTAGTTGAGCTTTTAGAACCTCTCTCTCTCTCTCTCTAATAATTCTTGTGTATCAAGAAACAAGAATGTGATTGATGTGAATCATGTGATGTAGTGATGATTAGTGCTCTACTAATAATTGAACTTGAAGCTTTAGTTGAGCTTTTAGAACCTCTCTCTCTCTCTCTCTAATAATTCTTGTGTATCAAGAAACAAGAATGTGATTGATGTGAATCATGTGATGTAGTGACGATTAGTGCTCCACTAAATCTTACTTAACCAAGATATGCACCAACATCAGGAATTTTGTTGGGAGGTTTTAGGACTTGTTTAGGGCAAAAGGGATTCTGGAAAGAAAAGAATAACATTCTTTTTCTGCTCGGAAGAATATTAGGCAACCTTTTGATGCTCGAAACAAAGATTTGGTGTATCAGGTTTCGAGAAAGAATGTCTGAGCTCTTGTGTTTCTGGTAGAAAAGCATGGACCATGGTGGTCGTCTCCCTACTTGACCTTTCTTGGAAGCTGCGTAGACTTCATTAGTTGCTCACATCCCACGCTAATTTTAACTCTCTAATTCATACTAGAAACTAGATTGCTGGGTCGATCGAGTAACCCATCAATCCAGACAAGATGTTAAAGTATCTTACAAGTTAACTTGGTTCAATTTAGATGATACTACATGTTGAGTTGAGTCTTTTCATGAACTTGCAAGTTAATTAATTTTATTCTTCTTAATACCAAAACAGCATTGTTTCTTGATGTTGTTTCAGCATGACAGATTCAGTAAATTATCGAGTTAATTGAGGAGATTAGGAGGAGTTTATAACTATGATACAAGAATTTTGTGTCTAGTGAACACAGATTTCACATCACTGTCATGATTGCCAAAAAAATGAAATTAATAAAAGCCCCAAGGCCCATAACAGCTAAGCTCAATCCTCCATTAAATAAAAGAGAGTTTAAAAAACGGAGGTCCATAGCTTACTTTTTCAGGATCAAACAACGTTTTCAAAGTAGCCGTTGGACCTCCTCCTTAAATATCATTTAAATACTCTCTCACCAAATACTTTAGCTTTCCGTCAAGAAATCCGTGTCTCTCTCCGCTCCTCTCTCTGTCTCTCTCAAAGACCAAGAAAAACCTTTTTTTCAGACCAAGAAACAAGATTCCAGACTGGTTTGCGGTCGCTTCAATGGATCTTCTTGCGTCAGAAATCACAACTCCTTCAACTCCATTATTATTTGCAGCAGCTACAAGTACTATTGGCATGAGTAGTACTAGCAGCAGCAGCAGTATTTGCAGCAGTGAAGCCAGTGAAGATAGCCCGGCAATATCATTTCGTTTTGAGCTTCAAGATGTCAAGTATGATTATCCAAGCAAATCTCTATCTGGGGCTTATACATATAGGCCTTTGGCTGTTTTATCAGGTCATGTTGGACCAGTTTCTTGCTTGGCTTTATGTGGGGAATTCATTTTAAGTGCTTCTCAAGGCAAGGATATTATAGTTTGGCAACAGCCTGATTTGAGGTTGTTTACAAAGTTTGGTCAAGGTGATGGTTCTGTTAAGGCATTAGTTTCTGTTGGCAATAAGGTTTTTACTGCTCATCAAGATAGTAGAATTAGAGTATGGAAGGTGTCAAGGAGGTCTGAAAATGTGTTTAGGCTTGTTGATACACTGCCTACTACAAAGGATTATTTAGGGAAGTTCATGAAGCAAAGTAATTATGTGCAAACTAGGAGGCATCATAAGAAGTTATGGATTGAACATGCCGATAGTATTTCTTGTCTAACTGTTTATAATGGGTTGATTTATTCTGGTTCTTGGGATAAGACTCTTAAGGTTTGGAGGATATCAGATTTGAAGTGTTTGGAGTCAATTAAGGCTCATGATGATGCTATAAATGGATTGGTGGCCTGTAAAGGGATAGTTTATTCAGCATCTGCAGATGGGAAAATTAAGGCTTGGGGGAAAGAGGGAAAGAGTTCACATTCTTTGAAGGGGATTTTAGAGGGTCATAAAGATGTTTCGCTTAATTCAGTGATTGTTTCAGATGATGGAAAGTGGGTTTATGGAGGAGGATCAGATGGGTTTGTGATGGGGTGGGAAGGGAGTTATGATTTTGTGAGTTGGAAGATGGTGTCTGAGACAAAAGCACATCAAATGGCTGTTTTGTGCATTTGTCTAGCGGGGGAGTTTTTGTTTAGTGGATCAGCTGATAAGAATATTGGTATATGGAAGAGAGAGGCTTTTGGTAAGCTTTCCAAGGTTGGGGTCATAAATGGCCATGAAGGGCCTGTCAAGTGTCTACAAGCATCACCTAATATTGTTGGTGGTGGGTTCTTGCTTTACAGTGGTGGCCTTGACAAGAGTTTAAGGGTCTGGTGGGTGCCCAAGCACTCTACATTACAGAATACAGAGGAAAAGTCCATCAGCTTGTGTTAGTAGGGCCTTCAAGCTTGAGTCTTGAAGCACTGATTCCCAGTATTTTTTTTCATGTGTTTGCAGTGCTTCTAAATTGGTTTTATATTTTTTATTAAGATTCAAGTGTGAAGAGCAGAGGGAAAATTGAATCCTTAGAGGAATCCTTAGAGGATCAGTTTGAATTTTTTTCCTTTTTTTGTTTTCCAGGTTTTGATTTTTGGTATGTTGTTTTTAGGGCTTAAGCTTTGGATGATGCAGCTCATCTAGGGCAAGATCTGTGGTATATATATTCTAGAGTGTTGTGAATTTTTTTTCTTCTTGGAATGGGGTATTATACAGGTTTTACATTTCTATAACTTGTA